GCCCGATGCGGGACTCGATCCCGGGACTCCAGGATCATGACCTGAGCCGAAGGCAGTCGCTTAACCAACTGAGCCACCCAGGCGCCCCTACCCTTTATTGTATTATATATAGACCTCCTTAGGTACTATCCCAACAGTAAGAGGAAGAAATACCTTGTTATTACTGAGTGAGCAGATGTCCCTGTGTGTTCTCCACTGACACTGTGGAGGTGGGAGGCTCATACCTCCTAGTAGATATGAAAATCCCGGTTCCCTACTCTTCTTCTTCTTTTTTTTTCCTAAGATTTTATTTATTTACTTGACAGAGAGAGACAGTGAGAGAGGGAATACAAGCAGGGGGAGTGGGAGAGGGAGAAGCAGGCTTCCCACCGAGCAGGGAGCCTGATGCGGGACTCGATCCCAGGACCTTGGGATCATGACCTGAGCCGGAGGCAGACACTTAACGACTGAGCCACCCAGGCGTCCTCCTACTCTGATTTCTTTGATTCCGTGCTTGGTGGGGAGTGTTGGATGCCTTGTTAGAGCTTTGTGAGGGTGAAGTTTAGCTTTCCACTTGGGCTTGCTTGTGTAGATATGGGTGGGTCCACAGTTTTTCATATAGTGTTTGGCTGAAGTAGAATGGTTATTGTCTGAAACTTTTCTGTTTTGCTGGGATGCCTGGGTGGCTCAGTCAGTTAGGCGTCTGCCTTCGGCTTGGGTTGTGGACCCGAGGGATTGAGCCCCGCATTGGGCTCCCTGCTCAGTGAGGAGCCTGCTTCAATCAATCAATCAATCAATCTCTTCTATTTTGCTGTGGTGCCCCTCTCTTGGTCCTTTGGCTGGGGAGAACAGAATTTTGTTGGGGTTCCCCCCCAACCCACCCCATGGTGTGTCTGGTTTGTGAGCTTTCCTAGCTCCAAGCATGGAGTATATAAGGCAAAAAGAAATTTTAGCTAACTCCCTGTTGTACCATTTCTTGAGTCCCGAGGTCCCTGCTGATTTGCCTTTTTCTCTACCTTTTAGAGTCTTCTGATGTTTATTTTATATAGACTGTCCAGCATTTATAGTTGTAATTAGTGGGAAGAATAGGGAAAATATGTCTTCTTCCCGGAAATGGAAGTACGTCCTAGTGACTTTTAATGTTGAACACTTTTTTACGTGCTAACTGGCCATTCCTGTGTCTTCCTTTGTGAATGTCTTGTCAACTTTACCTCCCCATTTGAGAGAGTGGTTTGTCCTGTTATTATTGAGATGTAAGACTTATTTATATATTCTTGTTAGATATGTTTTGTGAATATTTCCTCTTACTGTGGCCTTCTTAACTATCTTTTGATACGTCAGATTTTTCTCTTATAATTATTTCTGTGTCTAAGAAATCTTTGCCTGCTCCCAAATCATGAAGATGTTCTCCTATGTTTCCATCTAGCAGTTTTATGGTTTTAGTATTTGTATTTGTGTCCATGATCCATCTCAATTTAAATTTTGTGTATGTTGTAATGTGAGGATTGAGATTCATTCCCCCCAGTATAGATGTCCTGTTTTTTCAGCAATTATGGTTGAAGAATATTCTGTTTCCCCATTGAATTGCTTCCTTCCCTGTATTAAGAACGGGGATACTATATGATGTATAATTTATAGTTTGTACATCATGATAGTATATGATATTCCTGAGAGAAGAGGTAAGATAGAATGCTTAGGGGAGAAAAACCAGAATTGTAGAGCTTGTAGACCCATTTTTAAATTTTGTACAGTCATTAGTGGCTATTTCATTTTCAGGAGTTGTTTGAGTTCTTTGAGCACAAATGCCCTTATTTGTAGAGCTGAAATACTAACTTTCTCTAACTTACAGGGTTTGGGAGAGGTTTTGAATGAGAAAAACACTCAAATGAGTGTTTATGATGTGCTAGTCATTATTTTACTTAACTATCTATAAAATGTTGCTTTACCTGTTGGGGGTTGTTCAGTTCAAAGCATCATAGATTAAAGCACCTCATTTCATGACATGTACCTGCAAGTCTCAGTGTTTTTACCCAGTTGACATCTTGAGAAATTGCATGTTCTTATTTTCATTGGTCCACAACTGCACGTTTGTTATATAATTCTTAACAGTTTTGCTTAATATTTTTTCTTATGTTAGTAAGAAGTAGGGTATCTTATTAAAATGTATAATTTCAGCTTGGCTAAGGAATTCTGTGAATATTCTATTACTGTTAATAGATACTTTTAATAGACTTTGTGTATTACTTTCCTGTGGCTGCCGGAACAAATTACCACAAACTGTGTGGCTTAAAACAACAGGAATTTATTCTCTCACAGTGCTGGAGTCCAGAGTCTGATATCAGTGGGCAGAAGTCAAGGTTTTGGTGAGGTTACACTCCTTTCAGAGACTCCTTTCAGAATCAGTTCCTTGCCTCGTCCAGATCTGGTGGCTGCTTGAGGCCGTATCAATTCTGTCTTTAAGGCCAGAATCTTTAAATTTCTCTTTGCTGTGTCTTCATATGGCTCTATCCTCTGTGTGCCCCAAATTCCCTATGTCTCCATATGAGGATATATATGATTGCACTTGCACTTAGGACCCATTCATATAATCCAGGATAATGTCCCCATTTTAAGATCCTTAATCATATCTTCAAATACTCTTTTATTTGTATTTATTTGTTTATTTTGCCATATTAGGTCCATGGGTTGGGATGTGGAGATCTTTGGAGGGCCATTTTCAGCCTGTTACAGACTGGTTATATATTTATACTAGAATAATCAACAGTAAGAACAAATAAAGTAAAAGTGCTGCTTATAAACTTAGCAGTGACAATTCCAAAGATAAAAAAGAAAAAAAGAATCCTTCCAATGAGCATGTTGTCACCGTAAAGTATTCTAAAACTGTTAATTATCATTACTGATTTTATGTGAGGGGAATGGACAAGGTCTAAGCGAGATTAGAGTATTGACCCAAAAGTATAAACAAGTATAAGAAGGCCAACACCGGGGTGCCTGGGTGGCTCAGATGGTTAAGCATCTGCCTTTGGCTCAGGTCATGATCCCAGGGTCCTGGGATCGAGCCCCACATCAGGCTCCCTGCAGGGAGCCTGCTTCTCCCTCTCCCTCTGCGCTAACATTTTAGAAATAACTAGGTTAAAAACATGTATTTTTAAAAACAATAAATTTCCGGGGCTCCTGGGTGGCTCAGTTGGTTAAGCGACTGCCTTCGGCTCAGGTCATGATCCTGGAGTCCCAGGATCGAGTCCCGCATCGGGCTCCCTGCTCAGCAGGGAGTCTGCTTCTCCCTCTGACCCTCCCCCCTCTCATGTGCTCTCTCTCTCTCTCATTCTCTCTCTCAAATAAATAAATAAAATCTTTAAAAAAAAATAAAAACAATAAATTTCCTCTGCTTAAAGTTTTAAAATTTTTATATCCACCTCTCCCTTTCTACTTACCTCTCATACCCACCCCTCTTTATAAAGGTGCCCCTTACTGAAGCAGTGGACCCAGTGGATTTGGAAGAATACCTCATTACTCATCCTTTAGCTGTGGATTCTGGGCCTTTAAGGGATTTGATTGAATTCCCTCCAGATGATATCGAAGTTGTTTATAGTCCTAGGGACTGCAGAACCCTGGTGTCAGCTGTACCTGAAGAAAGGTAAGGCGACATTTACATATTTTTGGTTTAAGTGTAACTATGGAAAGGCTACCTTCCTTGATTCTGTTTAGATCCTATTTCTTGTGGTAGTATTGTTTCCTTTTATATGAAGAAGAACTGAAGCAACCAAATTCACAAACATCAGTGCTTTCCTTACTAAATTACAAATTTATTTTCTTTTTTAAAATAGTGAAATGGATCCACATGTTAGAGATTGTATAAGAAGTTATACAGAGGACTGGGCAGTCGTGATCAGAAAGTAAGTCATAGGTTTATTATAACATTAAGAAATGCTGAGTAGGATCTATAAATGGATTAAGGTAGATTAATAATAATTATGAGACCTGAACATTCATTTAAAAAAATAGCTGAAGAAACAAAAAAAGGACCTTTTTTATGTAGATATTTTCTCCTTAGGAGTTCTGCAATTACCGTGGCCTACATCACTTAACTTTCTGTATAAAATAATAGGTTTATCAGTAGTATTTCTATATTATCATAGATCATTAATAACTAATAATATGTAATTTTAATAATTTATGGTCTAACTCTTCTGGGAAATCATGGGTAGGTATTGATGAATAATTTGCATTTCTCAAAAAGAATCCAGTTTATTGAAACTTAAATGATTAAGTTTATGGCCAGCTTTCCAGATCAAGCTGTTTGAAAGGTCTCCATCCTTTATTAACTAACTAAATATTTATAGGTCCTTGACCAGTATATCGAATCAGGTAAATATTTTTTAAAATAATGTTTTGTTATACCACAAAATTTCTTTTTCTTTCTTTCTTTCTTTTTTTTTTTTTAAGACACAGATTTGAGACACAGATAGAGAGAGAGAGCATGAGCAGGGGTAGGGGCAGAGGGAGAGGGAGAAGCAGGCTCCCCGCTGAGCCAGGAGCCCGATATGGGACTCGATCCCAGGATCCTGGGATCATGGCCTGAGCTGAAGGCAGACACTTAACCATCTGAGCCACCCAGGCGCCCCACAAAAGATATTTTTCTTTTTTTTTTTTTTTAATTTTATTTATTTATTTGAGAGAGAGAATGAGAGAGAGAGAGTACATGAGAGGGGGTGAAGGTCAGAGGGAGAAGCAGACTCCCTGCCGAGCAGGGAGCCCGATGCGGGACTCGATCCTGGGACTCCAGGATCATGACCTGAGCTGAAGGCAGTCGCTTAACCAACTGAGCCACCCAGGCACCCCAAAAGTTATTTTTCTAATGGATGGTGTTTGAGATATCAAATCAGGTTAAGAAAAAAAAGTTTCCTTTGCTCATTTTAATTTGCATAATGAAGAGTCTTCATCCTGAAAATTCTTAGCCTTATTTTATTTTTCTAAAGGAAAAATAAATGTCTGAAGGAGGGGAGAATTCTGTTAGGACATAGTTTTCAGAAACTGAAGTTATCTGTGCTAAATTGTACTTGCAATGGTCTTGTATCCTTGGCTTATTGTTTTGCCCCTATGGCTGCTGTCTTATTTCACTGGGTTTAATATTGTGCTAAGCATCACTTGGGGATACTGCTGACATGCTTTTTAGTTTTAGTGTGACCTAATAAAAGCACAGTCTGCTACCCTTTATAAAGAAGAGCTGTTTTTATGAACCTACCATTTTGATAAGTATTCCAATAGGTAGATTTTCGACATTACTGAAGAAAACTGTTCCTCTGTCAGCTAACTCAGAAGTCTTTACCTCTATACATGTATGTTGGAAACTTCTAATTAGAAATCTTAATATAAAGAGATTAGTTGTAAAACATTAATCTCAGAATCATGGAGCCTGCTACTTAACTCTCATTATGGGGTTGCTGACCTTGGTTTAGGCAAGAGGGTAAGGTAGTTAATATTTTGGGGTACTTACTGTGTATCGAGCATTTTATTGAGCACTTGACACTCATCTCAGTTAAGGTTCCAACAGATGACATAGCTCAGGCTCAGAATAGTTAAGTAATGTCTTTGAGGTCCCACAGCCAGAAAGTGGGATAGTCTGGATTAGAACCTAGGGACACTGGGTTCTAATGCTTAAATTTTTTCTGTTACATCAGATATTATTTTGTTTATTATCTGTAGTAGTAAATGACAAAATGGGCACTCTTGTTGGGCTACAGGTTTTAAAGTATCCCTGAAAGACAGAAGATAGGGTGCGATTGGAACATAAGAGAAAACCACAGTACAGAATAATCTAAAGAAAAGATATATGTAAAAACCTCAGTAGGCTTGTAAGCTCCGAAGTAGTAAATTCAGGCAATGGAAGGGGGACCTGGGGTACTGCTGGACATTTGGTTACTTTGACCCCTGTACCATGTTTGCACAGGAGTGCCTGCAGAGAGATCTATGTCTTTTTTTAGAGCAGTGATTTTGGGGGCTTGAGCTGATAATATAGTGCTCAGGGTGGGCATGCCTTGGAATAAGAAGGAGCCCCTCATACCCAGAAGAGTGGATACTGGCAGATTCTGCTTGACAGCATGATTGCTTCTTCTCCACAACCGCCAGATATGGGCTGAGCTGAACAGATACAGTGTTTTCAGGCGGATATGGGCTTACAGATTTAAAAATGAGCACATAATCCAGAATTTACAACTATTTCATGAAAACCAGCATGCTTCAAAGAGAATTATCAATCTATAAATAACAGAACAATTTAAAGTTGGAAGTAGTTAGAACACAGATTAGAACCCATAGTGTAATTAATATCCTCAAGGATATATGAAAGGATATGGTAGACATATGAAAATCAATTGGTTATCTTTGGAAATTAATATTTTATTCAGTGAAAAAATATAAAAACGCAGCAGATGGGCTTAATGGCGGAGTGGACGTGACTGAGGAGTGGAATACTATGCCATAAGATGAAACCACACCATTCGTCTATAATTCAGCACAGAAGCATAAAGGGACAGAAAGTACTTCGTTTATTTATTCATTCAACAAATACTTACTGAGAATCTGGTATGTGCCAGGCGCTATGCTAAGCAGTGATGATATGGCAGTCAACAATTCCCTGCCCTCATGGAGCTTACTTTCTAGTTGGGGATGAGGGCAATGGACAATAAACAAACACAGATAAATAGGTATGGTGGAGGTAACTCTTACGCAAAAAAAAAAAGTAGGGTGAGAAGGATAGGGAGAGCCAAGAAGAGTGGCTAAATTTCCTACTTTGTAAACTAATCAGAAGAGACCTAACAGGGGCGCCTGGGTGGCTCAGTTGTTGAGCGTCTGCCTTCGGCTCAGGTCATGATCCCAGTGTCCTGGGATCGAGCCCCGCATCGGGCTCCCTGGTTGGCGGAAGGCCTGCTTCTCCCTCTCCCACCCCTGCTGCTTGTGTTCCTTCCCTCGCTGTGTCTCTCTCTGTCAAATAAATAAATAAAATCTTAAAAAAAAAAAAAAAAAAAGACCTAACAGATAAGGTGAATTTGAGCAAAGACCTGAAGGAAGTAAGGGAGTGAGCCCCCTGGATATCTGGGGGAAGATATTATTAGGCAGAGGGAAGAATAGCACATGCAAACGCTGCATACTGGAAGCATCCTAGGAATATTCAAGGAATAGCAAAGAGGTCAGTGTGGCTGGAATAGAATAAATGAGGGACAGAGCCAAGATATGAGGTCCTAGCAATGGTGGTCTGTGTGTGGGGTTGGATAGAGAGCTTTATAGCAACCAGCTAGAGGTCAGAGTGATAATTTAGAAGAGTATTGATCATGAATCATGTCATTCTTCTCAGTTCTTGTGAATTTTATACTGTCAATATTTTAGGACATAAAGGAGGTAGAATGCAACACATTTCTGGTTTATTAGAGCAGCTTAGACATGCAACTTTACAAATTAAGGAACTTAAAGCATTTTATGAAAGATTAAAGCATCTATTTTTGAATAAAACCTTTCATGTTACTATATTGAGTATCTTTTTTTTAGTTCTTTCAAAGAAAAATGCTTTCTTTTATTTTGTGATTACACTGGGATATGAACATCATGTAGCTGCTATTTTAATATCTTTAGCAACAAGATACAATATGAATGATTCATATCAAGTGTGATTCTTTACTATTTCATAAATTCACTGGTGGCAAGAACCATATCATCCTCTGGTAATCATAATTGTTTTTGCTCCAATTAAAATTTTCCCCAGTTGGACTATATGAAGTGTGGAACAGTAATCGCTCTTTGATCTTAGTGTCTGCTTAATGCTCTTGGATATTGGGTTGTTAGGAAAGAAGGTTACATTAGTTTAAGAGTTATTCTAAGTGTAATATATATATTATGTAGCAATATATGTTAACTAATACATGTATACAATGGTGTAGATCTTGTGGTTTTTCCTTTTAAGAGTCTGCAGCTTTAGCTTGTTTCAGATCTTTTATACATAATGACATATAGGAACTTTATTTGGCTATTTGAAATTTTGAGATTCAATGCTTTATATTTTTCTGCCTCTTAAAAATTTACATTGTTATGAATGCAGTATATATTTTCTACTCTCTCATTTTATTCTTTAGCCTGGCTTCCCATCCTTTCTTTTTACTGAAAAGAAAAAATATTATCTGAATTGGAAGTACAACTTAAGTTATATATACATGGTTGTCATGGAAAGAAGGAGAATATGACTTACTTTTGGAATGTCCTAATCTGCTCTCTAGTTGGAGTAAGGAACTTTGAATGGAAGTCTTCTTAAACTTCTGGTTAAATGTTTAACATGATCAAAACTGCTTTATTAATGTAAAGAAATAATACAGAGAACAGTTGGCTTGTTACATAATGAAGAAAATGAAAAATTTCCAAAACTGACATTTACTTAACTATTTTATTTTGAATAGATATCATAAACTGGGAACAGGATTTAATCCTAATACATTAGATAAACAGAAAGAAAGGCAAAAAGGTTTGCCAAAACAGGTCTTTGAATCCGATGAAGCTCCAGATGGCAACAACTACCAGGATGAGCAAGTAATACCTTTATTTTTAAATGACTAAAAGAAATTATTTTAAAGTAGTTTATTTTTTTATTTCTTTATTAATATATTTATGTTTAATGTTTTGCATGACAGGATGATCTTAAAAGACGTTCAATGTCAATAGATGATACTCCAAGGGGTAGCTGGGCCTGCAGTATTTTTGACTTGAAAAATTCACTTCCTGATGCTTTGCTTCCCAACTTGCTTGATCGCACTCCCAATGAAGAAATAGACCGTCAGAATGATGACCAAAGGAAATCGAACCGCCACAAGGAACTCTTTGCTCTGCACCCATCACCAGATGAGGTATCGGTATTTAGATATAGAGAACTAGATGCTTATTAAGATAGGTATTTTGGGAGTATTGCATATAGTATAATAATACAGGGAATACAACTCAAACATAGGTATAATTTTTAGTAAATGAAATATACTTTTTATTTGAGTGAATATATTTAATATATAACCTAGTGTAACTTCTGTGAGTTGAGCACACTTAGGATCTACTGACTTCTGTTTCAGGGTAAATCGGTCCTTGTTTTCTGTACTCAGTTGTGAAGACTCAAAGTATTAGATTTAAAATAAGTACTTAAAAAATTATAAAGAGTTGAAATATGGTAAGAATGTTCATTTTAACGTTGCTTGTCAATTTGTAGGAGGAGCCAATAGAACGACTTAGTGTTCCTGATGTGCCCAAAGAGCACTTCGGTCAGAGACTTCTTGTAAAATGTTTATCACTCAAGTGAGTATTTGTTTATTGTATAACTTATTTTTCAAAAAATATTTTGAGTATTAGTATGACAAAATCCTAGTAGATTTTATGCTTGTATTTGTGTCCATTTGAGAAGTATTGTTCTTCTGTACATAATTTCATTTATTTATTTATGTAAAACGATTTTATTTATTTATTTTGACAGAGAGAGAGAGAGAGATAGCAAGAGAGGGAACACAAGCAGGGGGAGTGGGAGAGGGAGAAGCAGGCTTCCTGCCGAGCAGGGAGCCTGACGTGGGGCTCGATCCTAGGACCCTGGGATCATGACCTGAGCTGAAGGCAGCCGCTTAACGACTGAGCCACCCAGGCGCCCCTATTCATTTATTTTTTTAAAAGATTTTATTTATTTATTTGACAGAGAGAGACACAGCGAGAGAGGGAACACAAGCAGGGGGAGTTGGAGAGGGAGAAGCAGGCTCCCCTCTGAGCAGGGAGCCCGAGGCGGGGCTTGATCGCAGGACCCTGGGATCATGACCTGAGCCAAAGGCAGATGCTTAATGACTGAGCCACCCTGGCCCCCTTATACATAAATTTAAATGCTACTAAGTATTAAAACTGTTTTATGAAGCTGAGCTTGAGAGCATTTTTGGCTCAGAGGTGGAGATGACTCTTTGTCATAGCTGTATATAAAACTTGGAAGCATTTCCTTTTTTTTTTTTTTTTTAAGATTTTATTTGTTTATTTGTCAGAGAGAGAGAGCACAAGCAGGGGGAGTGGCAGGCACAGGGAGAGGGAGAGGCAGGCTCCCCACTGAGCAAGGAGCCCGATGTGGGGCTCAATCCCAGGGTCCTGGCATCGTGACCTGAGCCGAAGGCAGACGCTTAACCGACTGAGCCACCCAGGCGCCCCAAAAGGCATTTCCTAAGTATCTTGTATTTACCAGATGCTGTACTTGGCTTGGGGGATATAAAGGCAAAGTAGCTTTTCCCTTAAAGAGATGATTATACATTTGTTACATAGTAGGCTTTGTGTTTTTTTATAAGATTTTTAAGTATATATTTCTTTATATAAAAAGTTAAATGACTTCTGATCTAACATCATCAAAGTGATTTGATAGTTAATTACTAGTTCTGACTTAAGATAAAGGAAGTTTCAATTCATAGAACTTTCTAAAAGCAGCAACTCATAAGGATAGACCACTTCTGTGTTTGGATAACTTGGACAGTTTCCTTCCTTTGAAAGTTAAGGTACTACATATTTAGTTAGATTTATCTAGACACCTATTAGTGCTTTAGTGCATTGAGTCTTTTGAATATCAGGACAGCTAATATCAGTTATTATGATATAATTTCTGTATAAAATTCACCCTTTTAAAAGTCAGTGGTTTACGTATTTGTTACTAAAATTTTAATTGTATAGTTAACAAATGGCAAACTTGTATTATTTTCGGGTGTACAATATAGTGATTCAGTAATTCTGTGTATTACTCAGTGCTCCTCATGGTAAGTGTACTCTTAATCCCCTTCACCTATTTCACCCATCTGCCAACCCACCACCCCTCTGGTAACTATCAGTTTGTTCTCTACAGTTAAGTCTGTTTTTTGGTTTGTGTCTTTGTTGTTGTTATTCATTTGTTTTGTTTTTTAAATTCCACATATGATTGAAGTCATTTGGTTTTTGTCTTTCACTGAGTTATTTCACTTAGCATTATATTCTCTCTGTTCCTTTCCTCTCTTGCTCACTTCTTTTTTAGGGTAAAGATTTATTTATTTGAGAGAGAGAGAGCATGCACGAGTTGGGGGAGGGGTAGAGGGGGAGAGAGAGAGAAAGAGAATCTCAAGCAGACTCTACGCTGAGCATGGAGCCCGACTTGGGCTTGATCTCATGACCCTGAGGTCGTGACCTGAGCCAAAATCATGAGTTGATTGTATAACCAGCTGAGCCACCCAGGCTCCCCTCTTGTTCACTTCTCTCATGATTTTCTGGCTTTCTTTAGTGATATACTTGGATTCCTTTCTCTTTATTTTTTGCATATCTATTACTGGTTTTTAATTTGTGGTTACAGTTAAGTTTGTGTATAACATCTTATGCATAAGCAGTCCATATTAAATTAATGGTTACTTAAGTTTGAATCCATTCTTTACTCCCCCCACCCCCAGATTTTAGGTATATGGTATCATACTTTACATCTTTTTATTTTGTGAATCCCTTGCCTGACTTTTACAGATGTACTTAATTTTACTATTTTTGTGCTTCCCTCTTTTCTTACTCCTGCTTATGGTCTTTCCTTTCTGCTCTAAGAATCACCCTTAACATTTCTTGTAGGGCTAGTTTAGTGGTCATGAATTCTTTTAACTTTTGTTTGTCTGGGAACCTCTTTATTCTCATTCTATTCTGAATGATAGCCTTGCTGGATAAAATATTCTTGGCTGCAGGTTTTTTTCTTTCAGCACTTTGAATATATCTTGCTGCTCACTTCTGGCCTGCAAAGTTTCTGCTAAAAAATCAGCTGATAGCCTTATGGATTTTTCCTTGTATGTAACTGTTTTCTTTTCTCTTGCTGCTCTTAAAATTCACTGTCAGTACCTTTTCCATTTTAATTACTGTGTGTCTTGGTGTGGACCTCCTGCGGTTGATTTTCTTTTTGCCTCTCTCTGCCTCCTCGATTTAGATTTCTGTTTTCCCCAGGTTTGGGAAGGTTTCAGCTATTATTTCTTCAAATAAATTTTCTGTCCCCTTTCCTTTCTCTTCTCCTTCTCGGATCCCTATGATGCGAATGTTACTATGCTTGATGGTGTCACTGAGTTCTGTAAGTCTCTTTTCATTTTTTATTATTTTTTTTTCCTCTCTTTTATTCAGCTTGATTGCTTTCCATTACTCTGTTCTCCAGGTCACTGATCCCTTCTTCTGCTTCCTCTAGTCTACTATTTATCCCATCTAGTGTATTTTTAATTTCAGTTACTGAGTTCTTTGTCTTTGATTCATTTTTTTTTTTTTTATGTTTTCTGTCTCTTTGTTGAGTGTCTCACTGAGGTCCTCCCCTCTTTTCTCAAGTCCCATGAATATCTTTATGACCATTACTTTAAATTCTCTTATCGGGCGTATTACTTATCTCATTTTTGTTTAGTTCTCTTGCTGTGATTTTTGTCCTGATTATTTCATTTGGTACCTATTCCTGTGTCTCATTTTGTCTAACTCTTTGTATCTATGTCTGTGTTGGGAATGTCAGCTATGTCTCCTACTCTTGAAAGTAGTGGCTTATGAAGAAGAGGTCCTATAGTGCCCTACAGTGCATTGTCTCCTGTTCACCAGAACCCAGTGATTCAGGAGGTCTCCTATATGTGATGCATGTGTCCTGCTGTCATGGCTGATGCTTTTGCCCTCAGTCCAGTTATCTGCAATGGCTCTCTTTGCCTGTTGTGGGCAGGGTTTGGTCCCTGTGTTATTAGTGGGATGGTGTGAGGCTGCCTTGGGCTTAAGTTGAATAAGACCAGGCATTTGCCAGAGGTGTAGTAGCACTGAACTGCAGGGCACTTTCCCTGTGTTGTCTCCCGAGAAATTTTCATTGGTGGTTGAGGCCTGCAGTCAGACCAGCTGTCTACGCCTAGCCCACTGCTAGGGCATGGGGGGATTGGTGTGTGTGGTTATCTTTCCCTTTCCCTAGGGTAGGAGTTACTTTGGAGTGGTCCTGGCCCCTGTCAGGGCTGCTTGCACACTGCCAGGCTTATGGCATTGCTTTGGATGGGTTCTGGCCAAGGGCATATTGCAGGGGGCAGGTCTGCAGGAGAATGAAGAGGCACGGTGCGCTGTTAGCAAGTTAGGTGGACATTTGGCACTGTGCTGGTTCTTGCAGGTATCTAGGCTGGGGGGTGGAGAGGGAAATGGCACCCACTAACTTCTTTGTTCTGGAGAGGTCTTTCAATGATCCCTGTTCCTTCCGCACACGCTCTGAGATTAGTAAACAAATTTCCTTTCTGTATACACCAGAAATTTTTCTTTTCCTTTTTTTTAAAGGCTATTTTTAAATTTAATTTTGAAGATTTTATTTATTTATTTGAGAGAGTGAGCGAGAAAGAGAGCATGAGCGGTAGGGAGGGGCAGAGGGAGAGGGAGAAGCAGACTCCCTGCTGAGCAGGGAGCCCGATGCGGGGCTCCATCCCAGAACACTGGGATCATGACCTGAGCTGAAGGCAGATGCTTAATGGGCTGAGCCACCCAGGCGCCCCATACACCGGAAATTTTTCAAACTGCTCCATCTATGCTGTAAAATCTGAGGGTCTGGGGCTCCTGGGTGGAGCAGTAAGTTAAGCAACCAACTCTTGGTTTTGGCTCAGGTCTGCACTCAGGGCGGAATCTGCTTAAGTTTTTTTCTCCCTTTCCCTCTGCTGCCCCGCCCCCATGCATGCATGCTTTCTCTCTCAAATAAATAAATAAATCTATGTTAAAAGAGAAAAATCAGGACTTTTGTTGTCCTGTTTCATTAAAGGCGGGGACTCAGTTTCCTTTTACCTTCCTGGCTCTCCCAAAGCCTAGCTGCTGATTTTTAAAGTTCCAGGTGTTAAACCCCACTGATGGTAAGAACTGGTGAAATTTGGCCCTTCTGATTCTCAAAGCCAAATGGGGATTCGTCTTACCCCTGCAGGTTCTCGGTGCCCGTTCTGATGGTCTGTTTTTTCCTCCACTTTCTGTGCCTATTGTTTTCCTCCCTCCTGCAGGTCCATTTAGCTCCTGACCTCGTCTCTGCCCTTCCTACATTCTTTATGTGGCCTCTTCTCTACGTTTAGCTGTGGAGAGTCTGTTCTGCCTGTCTTTGGGGTTGTTTTCTGGTTTATTTACACTTATGTGGGTGTTATCTAGTGGTATCTGTGGGAAGCGGTAAAGCTTAGGGTCTTCCTACTCTATCATCTTCCCCAGAAGGCTTAAGTCAGTGGTTTTTAGTATATTCCAAGTTATATAACATTACTGTGACTAATTCTGGAATGTAGTCATCACCCCAGAGAGGAACTCCATACCTGTATTAGTCTACTCAG